GGAGGGGTGTAAAATCTGGACACCCGCGTCTGGGAGTCTTTGCACAAGCACTGCGTGCATGGTGGAGGATGGGGAGATGCGCCCTGCCCCTTGTGGGGTGTGTCATACCCTAGAGCAAGAGCCCACGCGTGTGGGGATATTCCAATTAATCTCTATGTTAATAATCTAATCTCATGATTATTTATCTGTTTTGGTGATTGTAGCTCTCCCAGCGCTTGGCACGTATGTGGGTGCCAAAGGGCCTTCAGCGGTGCCCTCGCGCACCAGGGCGGTGCAGGCGGGTGAGACTGGACGCATCTCCCAGGGGCGAAGGCAGGAGGTGGGTGTTTGCCCCCCTCCCGCGGGTTGGTGCAGCTCTGGCTCCAAGGGGATCCGTACCGCCAGCTGCAGCCCGACACAGAAAACCTGCAGAGCTGCTACCGTCCAGCCTGGGGTGGGACGAGCAGCCACCACCGCGGGACACAGCACAGGTGTAGCACGGGTGAAGGCAGCTCTGCAGGAGAGCTGCGTCAGCCCTATAATCATTACAGAGACATTTGCTTTTCAATAATTGCAGTAATTCATCTTTAATAATTTAACTGCCACAAATACTTGTCACACAATCTATTGCACATAACTCTTGCGTGATTGATGATGCTAGTTTACATTCTTCTCTGGGTTGAAATCAAGAATGACGCAAGAATTACCTTTCAAAACGCTGCTTGTGTTACCCCACCAGCCCGGCGAGTGGGAGGTTGTGGGTGCCACCAGCAGCAGCCCAAGGCCGCTGTGCCCGTTCTCCCCAGCCACTGCATGTGCTTGTCAAAGGCCTGAAGGTTTTGCTTTGCAGCCTGGGCAATGCTCCCAAGTCCTGACAAAGTGCCAGGGTGGTTTGGGGGGGTGCACAGTGAAGATTTGGCAATAGCTGGGCTTTTCATGAAAGCCTGTTTCCTGGGGGAAACCAGTTACCGATTCTGCTGTCACCTTCCCCAGAGATGCACAGAAAAAAACAATAGGAAAATTGATAATTACGGGAAACAGCATTTCACTGGGTTTATAATTTTCAGGATCATAGGAATCAACCTACTGATGGGTGATGATACCACGGAGTCCTGTGGGAAGGTGTGTGCTGGTAGGAAATGCTGTCCTGCACCCTGGGGTACATGAGTGGGGATGTGAAGCAAAGACAAACCACACTAACCCCCAGCATGGCCTTGAAGGTAGGTCCTGAAACACCTTTTCAGAATTTGAGCCCAGGAGCCATTCTTACCTTATGTTTGCCTGGACGCATCCCAGAACTGCTTAGCAAAGTCTTTAAACAGAAGAAGAAATGCTGAATACTGTCAGTGCACGCAAAGACTCACTTCTTGCAAGGAACAGTGCAATCATTTCACAGTGGCAGAAAGCGTCTCCCAGACCCTGGGCCTGACAAACCTCTTACCCATTTGTCTGACAGAAAATGTGGTTGAAAGCACAAAAATAAGAACGTATCAAAGTTTGTAGCCAAGTAAAGGAAGAGGAAGAAGAGCAGTCGGGGCAGGTGAGGACCAGGAAGAGCCTGGTTCTCTCTCCAGTGCACTCAAGGACTAGTTTTCTCCTGTTTCCATTTTTGCAATATATCATTTGCTGCCTTCAATGTAGCTTCCTCCTAAACAAATACCACAGGTTTTGTCAGTGGCTTCCAGCCAAATCCCCTTTCCCCTCACTGCAGTCATCATTATACAAAAAATCCCATTCTCGTTCTGGAGCATCGCAAAAGCCCCATGTTTGGTATGACACAGACACAGCCATCTGGTCTGTTAAACGTGCACCCAGAAGACTCCCCTGCCTTGACCAGGAAATGTGGGATGTTGATGGGGCAAAGCTTAGGACGGTACTGGTACACCTCCTGCCCCCAGCTCAGCTCGCATGTCTGCAGGAGGGAGTTGGACCAGCCGTCAGGCTGTAACGCTCAGGGTGCTCTGCATTTCTTCTTAGTATTTATCTCATTAAACCAGCCTTAATTATTACTCCTAACCTCACCTTCCTTTGTGCTGCCACATATCTCACCTTTGCGAAGCAGAAACGGATGAAATGGTTGTAGTTGTTCTTGTGGGCCCCACAGTAGAAAGCGGAGAGCGGGATGGCAGCAAGTCCCTGGGAAGGAGAAACACATGGAGCTGAGGTTACTCCTCTCGGGCTTGAGTGCAGCCCACCATGTCCCATTGTGGGTGAAGCCTCACGGACAGGCTTGTGGATGCCATTGGTGCCATGTCTGCTCACTCTGCTTGAGCTCAGGCTGCCGGGATTGAGGCCAGCTGCTGAAAGAGACCCCAGGCACCCCCAGCCATGAGCTGCAGGACCCGGCAGCAGTGTTGTGCGCGGCTAGCAGGGAGGGCACAAACCCACCTGGAGCAAACGTGGCAGAGAGGACCAGACACATTTACCTTGTTCTTGACCATCCACTTTGCAAATCTGGAATCGTAGGGCTCATCGGAGTCAGGGACATCAGGGACGTCGGATTCTGCAGGAGAAGCACAGCATTGCAGATGTTGGGGCTGCTGCCAGGCACCTCAGCCAAGCTCCAAACCCACGGCCTCTGGGAGCTTGGATGGGGAAGGTGCTGTTGTCCATCCCTGCTTTGGCAGTGGGTTACGCAGGTTCCT